GGCGAGAAAGGGGGGGGGGGGGTATCAAGGCGAACGAATCTTGGGAGGTTATGGACAAGGAGCAAGGAGCAAATTAGTATATCCATAGAGGCCGAGCTCGGCACCACACACACACACAAGCACTCACAATAGCACACAGGCTACTTGCAAATGGAATAGAAATCCTTAATGAGCAAGATATTGTACACGCCAGAGTGATTACGAAGATGAAGGGATAATTCTCGGCCGGTGGTATCTTCCCCGAAACGCCCGTGTACGCCTGTAATGCTTCCCAAAGCCCCCTTTCGTCCCCTTTTTGATAAGTCAATGCGAAATCCATGCCACTCTGTCCCAGGTCCCATCTCTCTACTCGTACAGCTTCCCCGTGGTTCCCTATCCATGAGAGAAAGAGAATGCGATGACACCAGCTTATTCCACACCCACACCCTCCTCGGGAACCCGCAAACTCCCAAGCTTATCGTCCAACCACCGCGCCAGCTCCTCGGCATGCCGCCGCAACACCACGACGCCGGCGGTATTCACGCTCCCGACGCTGGCGAGGGAGGTGGTCGTCTGGGCGCCGAGGCTGAGGATGCTATCTGCTTCCGAGGGGGACGCGGGGATCTGGAATGGCGTGCCTGTGCCCGCGCCGCCGTTTGCGCCTGCGTTCGCGTGGGAAGAGTGGTGCGAGTGAGAGTGTTGGTCGGTAGAGGAAGACGCTTGCTGGGCTTCGATGGTCTCGGCGAGGGGACCGATGCAGACGAAGAGTAGCCCGCACTTTAGTCTCCGGATGACGACGACCCCGGCGGCGAGTTGGACTGTTATCGTGAGGGGTTTTCCTCCTGCTGCTCCTCCCGCGTGGTATCCTGCATCTTCCGTGTTTGCTGCAGCAGCGCCAGACGACGACGGCGGCGTGGAGGACGAGGAGGGGAGCGCGTCGGGGATGTCGGGCGTCGCGGAGGCGTGGAGGGCGAAGAGGGAGGATGCGACGGTGGACTGGGTGCGGAGGAGGGAGACGGGCTGCGGGGAGGCGTGGGCGAGGAGGCGGCCTGAGGGGGTCGCGAGGAGTGCCGTGTGGAGGTTTGCGTTTAGGTTTGAGGCGAGGAAGGAGGTTAGGCGTTTTGTTAGGAGGAGGGGCGTTGGTTGGTTTAGGGACATGTTTGTTTGTTTTCTGTTGTGGTTTTGGTTGTCGAGGGGGGAGATGGCTGTTGGTGAGGGTGTTGAGGAGTTTGGGATGTTGAGGTGTGGTGAGGTTTGTAGATGTCGCGGTTCCGGTGTTCGGGAGGAGAGGTGTATGGTTCAATGCGGGTTGCTTCGTTTGGATTCCGGTTTGGTGAATGCGTGTTGTGTATCGTCACGACTGCTGAACGTGATCGATGTCGAACCTTCGAAGCCAGGGCAAGATGCGTCTGGAAGGATGAGGGATTGGGGATGATCGGGTGGTGGTTGAGGCTCGGGCAAAGATAGAGGTCCACACGACTGCCAGGTTGTGGTGGTGGACAACCTGGAAGCTGGCGGGCAGGCTGTGGCACTCGGAGCTTCCATTCGAGGTCGCGCGCCAAGTAAAATTTGGGCAGCACCTGGCGGAAGGTGGGGCTCCCTGTCAAACGTCCGAAGGGTACGTACCTACCGTAGGTACCTTGGTCTGTCACGCAGGGAATTTGTTTCCTGTTAGTGCTCGGAATCTACTGCAGCTAAGGTACTTAGACAGCTCAACGTGCTTGTGTCGTGTGATTTCATGGATAAATTGGATGAACTACGAGAGACAAGTGCGAACTGCCTTGGTCAACTAGCTTGAGAAGCTCTTACTCATTCATGCGCTGCGACCCGTGACATACATAGAAGCATACTCTCCCCGATATGCTTGATACCAACCTAACACCAAACACCCATAAGACACTGCTACCACTAGTCCTTGATCTCACCAGACATCTTATTCAACACCATGAACCGGTACCTAAGATCATCCAGCACATCAACATACTCCCTCCCCTCCTCCGTATCGCACCTCCACTCCTTATACAACCTCTCCATCTCCTCCAGCAACCCCCTCGTCTGCACAGCCGGCGTCTCGAGATCATACTCCAACAACGTCCGCACCGCAACCTTCAAGTACTGCGAGTACCCGGACCGGTGCAGCACCTCGTCAAGATGAACATCCGCAGCGGCCCCACCACACGCCGGACCGGGCCCCGCACGTGCATTCGGCGCCGACCCGGACGGCACAACGCACTGACACCCCGGGAAGTTCTCGTGCAGGCACCCGCGGCTGCCCTTGTGCGTCTCGTCGTCGTAGATGCAGAGCATCTTTGCGCACCGCCGGATGTGGATGCACTGGCACGTCTGGCACCCGTCCAGGCTGGGGAGGGGCCGGCCGGTCATCATGCGGAAGAGGACGGCGCCGAGGGCCCAGTGCTCGTCGCTGAGCGTGTAGAGGCGTTTGCTCTGTGGGCGTGATGTTAGTCGAGCTGCTGTGTGTCTGTACGAAGTTGCTCCGGGATAGCTCACCCTCCTCCCCGTATCCTTATACTCCTTCCACTGCTCAATCATCTCCGTAAGACGCATATGCCCCGTCTTGGGCGAAACAGGAAACCCAACGCTATGCGGAAGCGGCTCTTCCCTCTCCAGCGCCCCCTCCCGCCGCGCCGGAACCCCCGACACGAAAGCCCGGCCAAACTTGCCCAGCTTGCACACGCCGTACGTCTCTTTGCCCCGCGAATGCTGAAAAAAGATGGACTGCGCATCAATGCCGCGGTGCAGGATGGGCATCCACTCCGTATCAGTCGCCGCCCACGACTTCTCACCGGTCACCCAGTCCACCTCTTGCCGGTACCCATCATGCAGCCAAACAAGCGTACGCACCACAGAAGTAAGGACGTGCCAGCAGAGCGACTCGGGCAGGAAGCACCCCGGCTCGTGCTCAGCGTGCCGGTGGTCCGCAAAGAGGATCTCGAGCGTGCCGGCGTCGCAGATATCCCAGACCAAATAGTCCTCCGTAGCCTGCTTCTCCGCGCGCGGATCTAGGGGCTGCTGACGGAGGTACCCCGCGAGGGAGATGATGTTCTCGTGGTTGAGGATGTGGGAGACGGTGCGGCCCATGTTGTGCGTGTAGAGGAGGTCCATGAGGCCCTTGACCTGGCGCTGCTTCTTGGTCGTGAAGCTCATCGAGTACTTGCCGGCGTCGTAGTACTCGTCAAAGTCGTCCACTTTGCGCGCGATGAACTCTTCGCCGTCGGCGTAGCCCGCGTGCTGGGCATTCCGCCGGGTGATCCAGATGTTCTTCTCGACTCTCTTGATGAGCTGGAATGGCGGCTGCGGGTGGTCTGGGTCCGCCTTTTCGGCTGTTGATGTTGACATGTTGGACCTTTTGGGGGGTATCAAATTGGGACCTGTCACTCGATGGGCTTGTAGATGTTGGGGTCATGGCGAACTCTTGATATTTCTGAAAAAAGGTGATGCTGTCTTCTTTGTAGGTCCTCCTAGCACAGCATCGTCGTTTGCTCACCAGGCAGCGTCAACTAGAAGGGACCATGGTCACGGTCGAAACAAAGAATAGCCCTATGGCTATTGTAGTCTTTGACTCAACGGTTGCCGCCTTGGCATTCCGGAAAGGGTCATAGAGTACACCACTTGACAGGCAATTGTGATGAGCGTTGATGTTTAAGACATCCTTAGAATCAACCTCACAATGGTGTACGTTGCTGAAAATTGAAAACTCAATTCCAGCACAAGAGCAATGCTCAACAGACAAATATCACGGAATATTCATAATAAACGTCCTGCATCCCGTCGGTCGAAACGTCTGTACAATCGTTTGCCAAGGCAAACAAAGCAGCAGGCTTGGCCAAACGGGAGGAGGCATATGCAAGAAAACAATGTTAGTCGTTCGCACCGAAGCCGCATGCTCTGGTGACACAGAGCGTTTACCCATACCTACAGCCATTGAATTCCTGGCGTAGGCTGGTCGCACGACTTTTGAACCCACCGTCATTTCTTTGTCGGCCTGTCGCATTCAAATTAGAATGACGATAAAGATAGCCGAATGGCCGGGGTAATCCACGTGCATGCAGCACCTACCAGCGTCCACCCCGCCGAGCAAATTGGTCGTGGAGAAGCGAAATGCTGCGTCTTCCGAATGTGGGAGGCGATCAAATTTGACTGAGCCCTTTTTTGGGTCGTGTTGGCCAAGACCTGCCGTCTGATCCGGGAGCGTTTGTCGACGCATCCCTTGGAGTTGTTTCCGGAGGCTGGTGCAGCGGTGCTGATGGTCTGTAGGACCATTGGTCCCTTGCGATGTTCAGGCTATGCTGTGGGAGGGAGCTGTAAGGAGGCACTCGTCGCAGTGTGGCACTGTACGAATACTCCACAGACGCGGCGTCACTCTTCGTTTCGACGATACTGCTTGCCATCCACCCTGCGTTCGGCCGAACCGTCGAATGACATAAATGGAGGAACAATTAATGCGAAAGAGGGCGCACTGGCCATGTAGGAGGTAGAAGAAGCAACAGAGGCAACCCCGGGGTCGTGCATCCGCGAGCTCGCCGTCATGCATACCGTTGTATGGGCCAGGGCACGGCGTTTCAGCGAGACTGCTCCGGGCAAAGCTGAGCAGAGTTGAGACGGGATGGCCGTGTTGAAAGGCTGAGTATCCATTCTGGCTGCGACGACTGTGAACAGCCGGCGTCGTTATGAGTATAGCTTTGGTTCTGAGATAATTGTTTGCCATTTGTCGAATGCCCGAGTGTTGGGTCTAACAGAGTCAGTTGTATTGCACTTGCAAGCCACATCGGTTAGGACCGAGAAGAGGCCTCGTGGCCGGCCTCATCTCCACCGCATCGGCGCGGCTCTACCTAGTGTATTGGAAAGCTAACGTTGCAGTTTGCGGGAGTGGTTAGCGACAAGTCCACGATTCCTTCAAGCTTCGTTCAGGACGGTCGAAACAATGCGACCACAAGTCAGTGAGAAAGAAACAGCATTCCAGGCGGCTTCCCGCTGCTTCGAGAGGCGCAGTACTTGGGTCGATGGTTGGATGGGTGAAGCGGGCGCGTCCGAGCCGCGGCTGTAATGATGAGGCCGCGAACTATGTGGCCATGCCGCCATGGTCAATCTCGAACCAGTGCCTGTCTCGAACAGAGCAACTGGCAGGCTTGGTGCGGGACGAGTTCTTCCATGGGTTGAACGCAGGAGAGGATGCACAACATGAGAGGCTGAGGAGGCACGGCAAGGCACAGGTGGCGGAGAGACAGGAGGAGGACTGCAGGAGAGGAGGAGAGGAGGAGGAAGAAGACCGACGGAGACAGTACGTACCGTTGTACACTGTGAGAGACTGTGAGAGACTGTGGAAAGTTGTGGGGCACTTATCAAGGGCTATAATTGAGTTGAGCCAATCAACTCCCTAGAAGGTCACGGGAAATGGGACCTCAAACGCTCTGTTGATGCACTAAACCAAATCGGTCGACCTTGCGACATGGTACCTGCGTTAAAGGCCGCGCTTCCGTTCGCTATTGCTCCACAAGCCTCTCCTCCTCCCAGTCTCTGGGCACTTTGGGCAAGACCCCTCGGACGGTGGACGCATGCTCGAAACCGCCTGTCTTCGTCTCCCCTTCCATTGCCCATGTCTGCGCGTCCGCGACTCTGCAACCATCAGCGGCAATCATCAATTATTGGATCATCTTACCCAAAAGGCCCCCCTTTCCTTCCCTTTTGGCACTGACCCGGTGTCTAGACCCTAGTCAGACTATCAGACCCCCCCCTCTCGCAGATCACTCTTGAAGGCCTCCACTCCCCTCTCACTCCTCTCAGAGACTCTCCCTCACTCAAGGGTCACACGCTTCAACGCTTACCTTCTGCGTCTTGACCACGCCACACACATTCCTCCTTCGAGCTTCACGAAGCACTTCCATGGCCTCAAGAGTAAGACTCGACGTCTTCGACCGAGACATTCCGATCGTGCGAATTATCCACGACGTCCGCTCCTTCTAGACTCGTACTTTGAATACACACAATACTCACTCACTCACTCACTCACTCACTCACTCAATCACTCAATCACTCGCATTGCGCACTGTAACTCTCTTCGCCCATTTCGACATCCTGAGACTCAGCCTTGCAGCCCACGGCGGCCGATCAAACGCGGATATTCTCCCACAACCAGAAAACCGTCACCGCCTAACTTCAAGTGCTTGCTTGACAACAGTACTGACTACTCCGTACTTTACCCCCATTCCCCGGGTCTGTCAATTCCCACTACGGTCGACCAGCCGACTTGGCTTTTGCTCGCTGTCGTCACGTCGCCACGAATCTTCACCAAGTCTTGATCCACCCTCAAACGCCCGGTCGCTCGACCATGCCAGCTTGACAATCGCGCGGTCCGAACTCTTGCGTCGCACATTCAGCCCTTTCCTCCTACCCTGGGACCCACATTCCGTTCTCCCTCTCGTTCAACAACCGAATCTTCTTCCTCTACTCCTTCGGCTTCGTCCCGTCTCAAGTATCGATCTTTCTCTCCTGGTCATCACCAAGAGAAACACTGTCGATTACTTCGCGGGCGAGTAACGACTTGTGTTTGCGGCAGGTCCGGGTTGCGTTATCACACACTCATTCACACGACGTTTGGTCCCTCGGCGACCATCACCCTTCTTCTTCTCTTTTCCGACTCGACTGTGTCGGGATTCATCAATACAACTTTGACATTCGTCACACTCGACAATTCGCCGCCCACTACCCAAGATGGGTTGCCTCACTCATCGCAAAAAGGTCATTGACCAACGTGCCGAGCAGAAATGGGACTATATTGTATGTAGAACCTCATACGGTACAACATTCTTCTGGTGCTAACCTGTCTAGAACCTCAACGACTTCAAGTCACGAGGATGCCTCACTCCGTTCGCGTACTTTTACCTGTGGCTCATGTTGATCATCTCCCTCGCCGTCTACGGCGTCGATATGTTCACTGCCATCAACCTCCTGGCTTTCGACCGCTGGTCCTCCGAAATCGACCCCGCCATCGACTTCAAGATCTCAAAGTGGATCTTCTCCATTTCCATCATCGCCTCCTTTGTCAATCTCGCCTTTGAGCATTTCCGGGCGCACCGCGTTATGAAGCGAGGAAACGTAGCTGAATGCTACCTCGACACCATTGCCGTTCGCCTCGAGAGTATCCGATTCGGAAAGGGCCAGGGTTGGAAGCGTTTCTTGGTCTTTGCCGAACTTACCAAGAGTAAGAAGGGAGCCGAGTACATTGCTCTGTTCACCTACTTCAGCTTTCAATGTAAGCCAATCCTACTTTCCCATCGGGGCCGTTACTAATCTTATGTAGCCTGGATTCGTGTACTGGTCTGTTCGGGACCTCGTCAGGTCGTCAACGCATTGACTCTCAAGTCTGTCTACGACGCCAAGCTTGCTGTTCACGAAGTCTCCGTCGAGGGCTCTCTGCTGGGTTTCTTTGATAAGATTAAGACGCTTGCCACGGAGGATTACCAGCAGGCTCTCATCCTGTCGGGTATGGTCTTCACCCTACTCATTTGGGTCTTCTCCGCTCTCTACCTCATCATGGCTGTCCTCTTCTACGTCTTCTTCCTCTTCCACTGGATCCCCAAGGCCGATGGAGGTCTCTCGGGCTACTGCGAGCGCAAGGTCACCAAGGCCCTCATGAAGATCGTTACAGTCAAGGTCAACAAGGCGTTAGCGAGACAGGAGGAAAGCAAGAGAAAGGCAGAAATGAAGGCGGCCAAGAAGAATGGTGAAAAGATGCCCCTAGAGCGACAGGCCACTCTGCCGACTCTACCCAATGTCGGAGACCCAGACAAATTGGCCGAGATGCCCATGTTTGGCCGCAACGACACCTTCGCGACACTGCCCGCCTATGAGTCTCGTCCCGGGACCCCCGGCAGCATCGAGCTCAACTCCATGGACCAGAAACGCCCCCTGCCCTCGAGAATGGGCACCACCACTTCCACGGCCAGCTACTCGTCGCGCGCACCTCTTGTTGGCGGCGCTGCCGACTTTGGATACCAGCGCTCAGGCTCTCCGGCTCCTTCTCTGCCACCCATGGACTTGAACAACTACCCTCCTCAGCGCCCTGGCACTTCCAACTCGCAAAGGAGCTTCCGGCCTCAAATCTCTCACGTGCAAACCAACTCACAGAGTTCTCTCCGTGACGGTTTCTCGGAGAGCCCTTCCACATACTCTCCCGACACGATGCCACCCTTCCCTCCGCCTGTGAGATCCAACACTGGCCGATCGGTAGAAAGCTTCAGATCGCAAAGACAAAACACTTACCAGAGTGAGCGTGGCACGCCGGCGCCTAGAGGCACCTACGACGACTACTCGAGCCAGTCGAATGGACGGGCTAGCCCCGCGCCCTCAGCATACTCGGGCCGCGCTCCTGCACCCATGCCCCGTGGCCCCGGTCCGCTCAACAACACCCCGTACCAAGCGTACCAGCCGTTCAACCCGCAACGGAGCGCGACTGGCCCGGTTCCGCCCCGAGGCCCGCCGAATGCTCCCACGCGGAACATGACGGCGCCCGTGCCTCCCCGGCCACAGGACGACTACTTCAACCGTCCTGGCACCTCACAGAGCCAGCGACCGAGCCCTCGCGGCCCGGGATACGGCTACAACAACGATGTAGAATCTCAGAGGGATCCGCGGTACTAGGGGTACCGTGCTCCTTTCTGAGGCTCATAGATCGCGTGCGCTTATAGGGTTATGCGGCTACATCCCGCAATTTCTTTTTTTCATAATGTCTTTATGATTCAAAAGGGGTGTCTACTTTTGCGCTGGGAACAAGCGCACATTCCACGAAAGGCCTTTCTCGTCATTTCCTCTTCGTCCTCGCCCAGCCCTCTCACACTTTCTTCCTACTCGGAGAACACAAAAGTGTCGAGGCTGAGGTTGAGGCTGCTCTTCCTTCTTTTTACGACCATCCTTTCGATACCCCCGAAACTTTTCGCTTCATTCTCCGTTCGTCCATGTACTACTAGGAATTCATGGTCTACTGGCTACAGAAGTGCTCCAAGAGCCGCTAGAGAGAGGAAACCGCCAAAAATCCAAATGTACTTTTAGAAACTCAAGAATACCAAAGTCTGTTGATGACAATCCGATGTTCACACTTTCTGTGGTTTCGTCTGCCTTTGTCATGTTCTTCATACTTGACACTGTATTCACTAACGTCCCCCGCGGCGCCAGGGCCCCTGGTAAGCTCGCAACGCCATGCAGGCGATTAAAGTTTTGGCCCCGCTTCCCCGTCGTGATGACCCCTGGCAGAGTCTGACAGTGCCAAGTAACTGTCTTCACCAGCTGCCAACCTACGTCAGGCCGTCAGCTTTGGAATCCCGCCTTCGCTGATCACGACATGCGCCCTTCGGTGCTGATTTGTCACCCGGAGATGTCAATTTCATCCTCTAGGGCTCATACAGATGCGCTTACAATTAATCTTGTGGTGTTGGTGATGATTTCTAACGATGTGATATTACTATACCTTTCTCAAACTTCTCACAATTCAATGCAAACAGCGTGATCACCTGCGAACTTACACCCTCAATACACATCTCATATGAACCACACCCTCCTCCTGACAACCCTCCTCTCATCACAACTCCTCACAAGCTCAAACCTGTTCTTCCACTCACAACTACAAGACACCAACGGCATCATGCCAGGCAGAACAATACCCTTCCACCAAGGCGAACTCGCCCTCCACGAGCAACTCAAAATCCCCCGCCACAGAGCGAACCCCACAGCCGCGGGCCTCCCGCCCTCCTACGGCAACCGCATCGCCGCCGCCCCGCTCCTGGCCCTCGGCACCCTCGACGCTGAACGCCGGCCGTGGACGACGCTATGGGGCGGGGAGGCGGGCAACGTGGCGAGGCCGATTGCGGAGGACGTGCTTGGCCTCAGGAGCGTGGTTGACGTTGTTGATGATCCGGTGTTCAAGGCACTTTGGGGGGTCGAAAGGGAGGTAGACGAGGACCATCAGCAGCAGCAGCATTTGCAAGAGGTAATTCAGCCTGGGAGGGGTCCGGGTGGAGGGAAACTCGTCTCCGGACTGGCCATCGACCTCACGACGCGGGATCGCGTAAAGTTCGGAGGGAGGATGGTAGCCGGGGCGGTTACGGTTCCCTCGGATGGCATTGCTGCCGCTGAGGACCGGAGCTCTTCTTTCTCCTCGGAAGTACAAATCGCGGTGCACGTCGAAGAGAGTCTGGGAAACTGCCCCAAGTACCTCAACAAAAAGGACGTCATCCCGCGGGCGTCGCTCGTCAAGGGCAGAGTGGAGCGGGAGTTGCCGCTGTCTGAGGAGGCTGTGAAGGTCGTGCGCGGGGCGGATATGCTTTTCCTCACGAGCGGACACGAGGAGGGAGGGGACGATGGTGGCAGTGGCAGCAGTATGGATACGAACCATAGGGGAGGGTCGAGGGGGTTTGTCAGGGTTGCGAGGAACGATGAGGGTGGCGTGGAGATTATGTATCCTGAATGTGAGTTTTACGGCAACCCCCTTTCTAAGTCATTTGCATCCGGATCGATGGTTATGACGAGAAGGCTAATCATCTTATAGTTTCCGGCAATCGGTTATATCAGACGCTGGGGAACCTTAAACTGAACCCCTTGGTCGGGATCGCGATACCAGACTTTGAGACGTCAGACGTCCTTTACGTGAGTATTACTCAATTTCTTCCCGGCCTCACCTGGAACTTGGAAGATTATGAGGCTAACACTTGGAGGTGGGCAAAGCTCACGGGATCGGCATCGATACTCGTTGGACAAGACGCGGCAGCCTACCTACCACGCACGAAACTCGCCGTCAAAATCACCGTGTCGGCCGCGGTCTTTGTGCAGTCCGGCCTACCCTTCTCCGGCACCCCTCTCGAGCCGTCGCCGTATAACCCACCCGTGAGACCGCTCTTCTCCGAGCAGCAGCATATCCTGAGTTCGTCTACGGAAAGCACCAGAACGGCCACGCTGCTGCGCCGCGAGATCATCACGCCGACGATTGCGCGGTTCGTCTTTGGCCTGGAGCCCGCGGCGCAGTGGGAGGCGGGCCAGTACGTCACGTTTGACTTCGCGGAGGAGCTGGACGTCGGGTGGAGTCATATGCGCGACGACGAGCCGCAGAGCCTGAATGATGATTACGTGAGGACTTTTACGGTTTCGAGTCCGCCGGGAGATAAGGGAGGGAAGGAATTTGAGATTACGGCGAGGAAGAATGGTCCGGTCACGAATATGTTGTGGAGGTGGAATTTGAGGGTTCCGTTGGAGGTTCCTGTGCTTGGGTTTGGCGGAGAAGAGGCGTTCAGGATGGGTAGGGGGAAGGGGGAGAAGGGTGATGGCGGCGGTGATGATGTTGAAGAGGTGTTTGTTGCTGGTGGTGTTGGGATCACGCCTTTGATTGCGCAGGCTGGTGGTGTTTTGGAAGCTGGGGTGAGGATGAAGGTGTTGTGGACTGTCAAGGGAGAGGACGTGAAGCTGGTGAGGGATGTTGTTGGGAGGATTCCTGGGTTGGCTGGTGTGTTGAGGGTGTTTGTGACGGGTGAGGTTGGAGAGGCGGAGGAGGC